CCCAGGGCTGTGCTGGGTGTCCCATGGCCATGCCGGGTGTCCTGGGGTGGTGTGGGTGTCCCGTGGTCATGCTGGGTGTCCCATGGCCATGCCGGGTGTCCTGTGGTGGTGTGGGTGTCCTGTGGTCATGCTGGGTGTCCCATGGCCGTGCCGGGTGTCCCAGGTGGTGCTGGGTGTCCCATGGTGATGCCAGGTGTCCCGTGGTGGTGTAGGTGTCCTGTGGTCATGCCGGGTGTCCCGTGGTGGTGCCAGGTGTCCCGTGGCCATGCTGGGTGTCCTGTGGCTGTGCTGGATGTCCCGTGGTGGTGCCGGGTGTCCCATGGTTGTACCAGGTGTCCCGTGGTGGTGTGGGTGTCCTGTGGTCATGCCGGGTGTCCCGTGGTGGTGCCAGGTGTCCCGTGGCCATGCTGGGTGTCCCGTGGCTGTGCTGAGTGTCCCGTGGTGGTGCCGGGTGTCCTGTGGTCATGCCCGGTGTACCAAAGCTGTGCCGGGTGTCCCGTGGTGGTGCCAGGTGTTCCTTGGTGGTGCCAAGCATGTCATGGTACAGCTGGGGCTGTTGTGGTGGTACCAGGTGTCCCATGGCCGTGCCAGGTGTCCCGTGGTGGTGCCAAGTGTGTTGTGGTAGGAATGGGGCTGTTGTGGTTGTACCAGGTGTCCCATGGTGGTGCCGGGTGTCCAATGGCCATGCTGGGTGTCCTGTCATCATGCCTGGTGTCCTGTGGCCATGCCAGGTGTCCCGTGGTGATGCCAGGTGTTCCATGGTGGGGTCAGGTGTGTTGTGGTGGTACCAGGTGTGCCGTGGCTCTGCCTGGTGTCCCATGGCCGTGCCAGGTGCCCCAAGGTGGTGCTGTGTGTCCCGTGGTTGTACCAGGTGTCCCATGGTGATGCCAGGTCTCCTGTGGTGGTGCCGGGTGTCCCATGGCCATGCTGTGTGTCCCATGGCTGTGCCAGGTGTCCCGTGGTCATGCCTGGTGTACCAAGGCTGTGCCAGGTGTCCCATGGTGGTGCCATGCGTGTTGTGGTAGGAATGGGGCTGTTGTGGTGGTGCCTGGTGTCCCATGGCCATGCCCGGTGTCCCATGGTGCTGCTGGGTGTCCTGTGGTTGTTGGGTGTCCCATGGTGATGCCACGTGTCCCCTGGTGATGCCAGGTGTCCCATCCCAGTGACAGTTGTGCCATGGTGGTACTGGGTGACCTGTCCCAGTGCTGGCTGTCCCATCTGGGCAACAGTTGTCCCATGGTGGTGCCAGCTGTTCTGTCCTGGTGACAGTTGTCCCGTGGCAGTGCTGGTGTCCCGTCCCGGTGACAGTCACCCCGTGGCAGTGCCGGTGTCCCATCCCGGTGACAGTTGTGCTGTGGTGGTGCTGGCTGTCCCATTCTGGTGACAGTTGTCCCATGGTGATGCCGGTGTCCCGTCCCAGTGACAGTTGTGCCATGGCAGTGCTGGCTGTCCCATCCTGGTGACAGTTGTCCTGTGGTGCTGCTGGTGTCCCATCCTGGTGACAGTCACCCGTGGCAGTACGGGTGTCCCATCCCGGTGACAGTTGTGCCATGGCAGTGCTGGCTGTCCCATTCTGGTGACAGTCACCCTGTGGCAGTACCGGTGTCCCATCCCGGTGACACTTGTCCTGTGATAATGCTTGCTGTCCTGGTGACAGTTGTCCCGTGGTGCTGCTGGTGTCCCATCCTGATGACAGTCACCCCATGGCAGTACTGGTGTCCCATCCCGGTGACAGTTGTCCCGTGGTGCTGCTGGTGTCCCATCCTGGTGACAGTCACCCCACGGCGGTGCCGTTGTCCCATCCCGGTGACAGTCACTCCGTGGCGGTACCAGTGTCCCCACGGGTCCCCCCCCC